TTTTTATAGATTTATTTCCCCCTCTTTATAGGATGTTCTTCATATAAAGATTTGAAAATGGCATTCAATATACTATTTCAATGTGCAGCGCGCTGTAATATTGTGGTAAGTAAACTAAATTTTGTCGATGTACTATTTTTTTGTAATTGATTTTTGTTTTAGAATACACCAACAAATAAAAATCGTTTAGCTGAAATTATAACCGAAGTTGCAAATCGTCGTTTGGCCATACCATGCCTATCGGGCTCAGAACCCTTGGAATTGTTATTGGAAATTGGTTTGGAAAAGCTATACAAAGATTATGAATATATATTTGTGGAGAGTAAAATATGCAGTGCCAATGATTTGAAAAATAAGGGGTAAGGGAATAAAAGATTCCTATAATGTTGTTTTTAATTTAATTTTTGCTTTTAGAGTTGCCCAGGAGAACAAGGAAAACTCCTCAACAGTGCCGAATGTACGAAAATCTTTACGTAATGCTGTATTGCAGGACAGTGCTGCTATGCGTAAAACTTTGCTACACAACGATGTCAAGAGTAATGTAAATACCATGAAAAATGATGTGGTCGGCTTTAAGAATAGCAATTTTGATGAACTTGAGACGGCTAAGACTCTATCAAAATTATTACAAATCCATTGTACGTTGGAACATCTTCTTATGATTCATATACATTTGAATATAAGCAGTGTGTACTATGAAGTTTGTGATCAACTTTTACGAAAACCACCACGTATAATAGATTCAATAAACGATTCTTTGGTTGATGAAATGGAAATTCAATTATCAGCGCACTATATACGTGAACATTTAGAGGGTAAAGATCCACATTCACGACGTATTACAATGAAATCGAAAAATAAATTACGTGAAGTCAAGTCAACATTCTATTACAATATGGAGAATATTTTCCCACCGAATATTTCAGAATGTTTTGGTGCCGAGGAAAAGGAGTACAGCAAGGAGAATGTCTATTATAGTTGGTTATATCGTAAAATTACCACAATTAAAATGTAATAGGTGGAGGTTTGGCATTAAGCGTTTTGGTATATTTTTATGTTATAGATTTTTTTAAATATGTTTCTCCTTTTAATTGTATTTATTATGTATAATCAGTAATTTTTGAGAATAAATAAATTTGTTTATAATTTTTTTTACTATATATTACATTTTTAAATGAAATAAATAATAATTTTTGTTATTTGAATTTTTGTGATCATTTTGAAAGTGATTTTAAGTGATTATTTATACTCTTTCGAGTCGAACTTGATGATCTAAATTTTTGCAATGAAAAGGAAAGCCAGGAGAAGAACCTACGTACCCACCATTATGCGACGCGTTTCGCCGTTGGTTAAGCGGCTCATCAGGCATATTGGGCTATGTGGCTTTACAAAGGTCGTACGTTGATAACTTGTATTTATTCCGCCCTGATGCGAAACTTGCATATGCGAATTAAATTCAAATTTGTCAAAGTTCGACATTTGTCTTCATTCTAGGAACAGTCCTTTTCAAAGCAGATTTTTGTTGTAGCGATGGATAATTAATCCACACACCTACAATTGCTCCCATGGTATACACATGTTTTTGCGCAACCGTTTTGGAAGTGTGTTGATGGCTCAGAACGTTGAGAGGTCTTGGCAACATTTGTGTTGCTCCGAGGACCTAGGTTCGAGCCCTAGCCGTGCTCGGCTGAAATTAATTTTTGTTATTTGAATTTTTGTGATCATTTTGAAAGTGATTTTAAGTGATTATTTATACTCTTTCGAGTCGAGCTTGATGATCTAAATTTTTGCAATGAAAAGGAAAGCCAGGAGAAGAACCTACGTACCCACCATTATGCGACGCGTTTCGCCGTTGGTTAAGCGGCTCATCAGGCATATTGGGCTATGTGGCTTTACAAAGGTCGTACGTTGATAACTTGTATTTATTCCGCCCTGATGCGAAACTTGCATATGCGAATTAAATTCAAATTTGTCAAAGTTCGACATTTGTCTTCATTCTAGGAACAGTCCTTTTCAAAGCAGATTTTTGTTGTAGCGATGGATAATTAATCCACACACCTACAATTGCTCCCATGGTATACACATGTTTTTGCGCAACCGTTTTGGAAGTGTGTTGATGGCTCAGAACGTTGAGAGGTCTTGGCAACATTTGTGTTGCTCCGAGGACCTAGGTTCGAGCCCTAGCCGTGCTCGGCTAGGGCTGTGTTGATGGCTCAACGTTCTGAGCCATCAACACACTTCCAAAACGGTTGCGCAAAAACATGTGTATACCATGGGAGCAATTGTAGGTGTGTGGATTAATTATCCATCGCTACAACAAAAATCTGCTTTGAAAAGGACTGTTCCTAGAATGAAGACAAATGTCGAACTTTGACAAATTTGAATTTAATTCGCATATGCAAGTTTCGCATCAGGGCGGAATAAATACAAGTTATCAACGTACGACCTTTGTAAAGCCACATAACCCAATATGCCTGATGAGCCGCTTAACCAACGGCGAAACGCGTCGCATAATGGTGGGTACGTAGGTTCTTCTCCTGGCTTTCCTTTTCATTGCAAAAATTTAGATCATCAAGCTCGACTCGAAAGAGTATAAATAATCACTTGAAATAAATAATATATAAATTAATTAAACAAATATACATAAATTAATTCAAATTTAAATGCCCATCTACATTTGCAATTTATATAGGTATATCTAGGATTAGGAGCTTTTACAAAAGATTAGCAAAAAAGATGATGTTTTTATGTTCTCTTCCTTATGGTAGATGACCTCCATACGTTCTTTGTATGTAAAAGACGCCTAGCATTTTTAGGATGGCTGGTATGAGTAAAATGATGTATAAGATGCCTCTCGAACATCGCACAGTGGGTTAGAGTACCATGTTTTCTTGGACCAAATCAGGGAAGCTACGTTAGAATATTTTTTCTTTATTTTTCAGTTAATACCATTAAAATAAGTTAAAAAAAATGTTTTCTAAGTATATTTGAGTATAATTTTATTAACTAGTGCCAAATATCAGTGTAGGTATATAGTGCAAGGAGTACAATATGATAACTTAAACATTGAATTTTATACATCTTAAAGTTAATCATCCACAGCCGGGGATGGTCCGTATGACGAATTTTCAGGATTTCGACTGTCAAAAAGGTGTAAACGTCGAAAACGACATATACCTGTATAAAATGTAGTAAACGTCATTTATTTCAATATTATCACCATATACAGTCATTTTCAAGAACATATATTATTTTTACTGTATATCTGGCTATTCTTTACTAGAACTGATAAAAAATTCCGAATTTTTTTTAAGAAAAAAATTTTGATATTCGATATGAATTTGAGTAAAGCATACGTTATTTCCAACTCGATAAATGTTAATAGCCATTTTATAAAAAACATAATGGTTTTGAGTGGGTGTATGTCATTTACGTCACTGTTTCTCACAGGCCACCTCTGTCCGCAGCATCACCAACTTCTGATAATTGCTCAATATGTAAAAGGGCATTTGACACAATTTCGGGTCCGTGAATAAAAAACTTGTGCAAAGTGGTAGGCATATTATACAAAGGATACGTTTCAACAAAAAGTCGTCCTGTATTGTGTGCATATATTTGAAAATTTTCATTATTAATCTCATGGCCACTGGATACAGCTATAACCGACACGTGCATTTTTATTAAATTAACATATATTTTTGTTATTTCGGCAGATTTTTTCTAGCGTTTTGGTGCGTGTTTTTGATTTCTTTAGCTAAAAATGTCATCTTGTCATTCATTGTTTGAGCGCTCGAATTCATCATAAGCTTCGACGATTATAAAAAACAACGTTCGAACTTGTACCTATAAAAAATGCTAATAAAGAACGCTTTTACCCGACTACTTGAAACTGCACAACACAATCACTATTTGTCAAAACAATGAATATTATTAAAATAAACAAAAACAAAATATTATTGTAACAAAGAATATCATTAAAAGAAACAAAAATAACAACAATAAAATAATTAGAAAAAAATAACATGAAAAACAAGAAAACACAACACTCAACAACAGCACCAGCCACGAGATCAATGTGACTTTTAGCTAATTTGACTGCTACCAACACTTGTATTAAACAACGCATAGCTTCTAAAAGGCACAAAAGAGCAGCGTAAAATTTTGCAATATAACAGAGATTTATGTCCTCTTTAATATAAACCAAAAATTATGACACGAATGTGGACGAATAATAACTATTTATCCATTTAAAATATAAAAATATTAATTTTTTTGGCATTTTCAATATAAATAACTAAATCTTAAATGTTAACGAAGTATTTGCAAAATAACCTAAACTTCATGGTTCCGTTGAAAAATGTTTAACTTTTACAATACTTTTTAAAATAAATAAAATTTTCTACGTTTTCACTTTTTTCAGCCTTTTTTGGCACAAAAATTTGTATGAAGTTTGACTTTGAAGTTTCACTACAAAAACACCAGTCCACTTTTGTCATTAATTTCAACGACAAATGATGTAGAATTTTTTATACTTTAACCGCGTGCAAAAAATTTTAACGATACTTAAAATTTAATTTTTTAATTAATCCAAGGAAACAGGGTATTCTAACCCATTGTGCGTCGTCAGTTTATAAGATACCTTAATAAAGTTTTCTATGTATAGAGGATCACAATTTATTATGTTAAAATTCTCTATTTTAGTGTTATTGAAATGGACGATTTACGTGAGAATATCAACGAAGTTATGAGTGAAACATCGAAATCGATTCTAACAGTGGAGCCGAAGGTATATTTAAGATATTATACACAGTGCCTATAGTATAATTCTGACTGTCCTCTGCCGATACCGAGACAGCAGAATGTAGACCTGTGTACAGAATGTCGATGTGTATAGGCGGTAGCGACTTATAGATCTTTACACCACTAGGTGTGGAAGATCTTCTAGATGTTGGAGACTTTTTGAAGGTATTGAAGTTGCAAAATACCTTTAGAAGGTTAGGCGTTGAGGACCTTTTAAAAGTATTATAAATCCAGGAAATCTCCAGAAGGTCATTTATGTATAGAAAACCTCTAGAAGGTCAGACTTTTATAAAGGTATTCAATGCCCTTTCTGTATAGAAAATTTTTAGAATGTCTGCTGAGTAAAAGATTATCTGTAAGAGAACTTTTGTGTATAGTTTTTCCACATTTTATCCACTTAGAAGAATACCAAAAGGTCTTTATTGTATTGAAGACCTTCAGAAGGTATTGACAGTATAGAAGGGAGTCCTTCATAAAAAATTATTATAGTATTTCATAGGCTTACAAAATGGTCTCTTTATAACATGGTTCTTTTTTTGAAGACCTTCGACCTTAGAGGAAAAATGTTTCTTTGTGGATGGGCGGAAGTCATTTAGAGCTGGCTACATCCCAAGCACTCGAGGCGCACGTCAAATGGCAAAAAATCGAAAGGGTTTATTTATAAATGGGATGGAAAGTAATTCAAAGATGAGCATAGACGGGCTACGGTGGGTATTTTATAGACATCAAATTCTGTTTTAAAGGTAGAGTGAATTTATAGATATATACAGGGGAATGGTTATAAAAGAGTAGAAAACTACGAAGACCCAAAGGCGAGCAGAATCAGACAATTTTATAGGAGCTGAAGGATAATGACTTCCTAGACGACATGAACTACTAAAACTGTATACGAGCAGAAATATGTTATTCAAAACATTTCAATTGCAATTCGAGAATTTCATTTGTAATTCAAAACTCAATATGCAATTCAAAACATTTTATTTGTAATTCGAGAATGTAATTGGCGATTTAAAACATTTAATAAACTTTTCAACGAAATTAAAAAAAAATCCATTTGAAATTTAAAGAATTTAATTTGTAATTCGTATATTTCCATTTGAAATTCGTAGAGTTTCATTTGAACTGCAAAGACATTAATTTATAATTCAAGGAATTCAATTTGTAATTTCATTGTATTTCAATTGTAATTCGTAACAATTCATTCTAAATTCACACATATACTTTGTGTGTTACCTATAATATTTTTCGAATTTAAAATTAAATTTATTGAATAATAAATAAATTGTTATGTATTTCAAATCAAATGTTACGAATTTCAAATGGTATTCGAAAGGTATTTTATGAATTACAACTGATATGTTATTAATTGCAAATGTAATTCTCGAATTGCAAATTATATGTTGTGGATTACAAATGAAATTATCGAATTAGTTGAATAGTTGATTTTGTTTCAAATAAATTTGAAATAAAATCAACTTCCATATGGCGCCATCTGCTGCAGAATGGAATGAAAACATAAGCTAATAATTCGTTTCGAAGAAAATACTGAAATTTATATTATTGATTTTGAAAATATACTGGCGAAGGAATTTTAATTTATTTATTTCTCACAAAATTCCAATAACGATTTTTTCCTAAACAGTAAAAAAACATTTAACCTTTTATTGGCATTTCTTTGTTATCCTTGTCCATAACCCTCGCTAAGGAACAAACGCAATAGAACCTCAAGTACATTTTTATATTTAAAATGGAAAAAACATAGAAAAAACATATGCTAAACATATACAAATTGTTTTGGCATGAATAATACCCATTTAATACCAAATAAATTCATTATTAATGTTTCTGTTTCTGTTTACGAAGACTTACAATAATGTTTTCAGTTTGTCATGGGTAACCTTTAAGCATAGACTTAAATTTATCGTCTAGACAAACCTATCTATCTATGATATACTATTAAATACGTGTGTGGACATTTCTAAAATATACGTCAACAAAAAAGCTAAATTAATAATAATTGCATTTAATTGAATAAAATAATAATATTTGGAGTAGTTTATAATTTGTTGTTTTTTGAATCGCTTTTGGCTCTTTGGGCTAGATTCTCGTTTATGAAATAAATTGAAATTAAAATGTATTGGATGATAGAGGGACATTAATGTTGCAGTTTTTATTTGTAACTCCTCAATGTATTTATTCCTAATACGATAGGAAGAACAATTTCATATCAGAAACCTATTCTTGGAGGCATGTGAACTGAAAAATTTTAAGAAATTGAAGAGGATGAGTAGTGGAAATATGACTGTGGACAAAATATATGTGAAATATCAGAGTTTGATTTGGAGGAAGTGACAAGAGTTACGATTATATTTTTAAGCATATTTTGCTTTAGAGAATGCTCATCTCTGTTTTATCTACATTTTCGTATATAAAACAGACACTCTCCTTGGAGTGGCAACAAACAATCACTTATTGCCCTGAATAAGTGATTGTTATCATTGGCGGCTGGAGGGCATTTTAGAAGGGTCCTTGTGATTGTGAGAGTGATACTAAAAATTAAAAGCAAAGTTTTTCTTCTTACTAAAATAAAGGAAGTTTGAAATTTTCAACATAAATTTAGAATTTGATAGGTGCACATTAATCCATGGAATACTTCATATTAGGACATCTAATCTTGTCCTATTGAAAATAGATTTGAATATTTTTGAATCTTAAAGATTTCAAAAATGTAAAAATATCTAATTTCAAGTCTAGTTGTGTTTTACCGGCTTTCTCTTTTCAAAACAATGATGTTGGGACATGCGTTTCAAACAATATCGTATAGAACAATTCTCAGGCATGCGCCATTGTTAACCGCTCTCCATGTCTCTAGGCTGTTGCTGCAAAGGTTAGTAAACTTTTTGACGTTAAATCTAAAACGGAAATGGACAAAATTTGAAATGAAAAAATAACACACACAGAGCTATAAATATTTTGAGGAAGAAGAACCTATAGTCTAATTTTGTACACCTAGTTCATTGAAATGTGGTACAATCCAATTAGTAATAACAAGCAAGCAAACACATCTTACATCTTGGTTTATTTGAGTTCAAATGTGTGAAAAATTTTGCACAGAAATACCTTACGTGTGCTAAGGTTCGGACGTGCCTTGGCACATTAGCGGGAAATAAAAAAAATTTGAAAAAAACCGTTGGAAAAGAAGTTAAATAAACATTTGAATAGAAAAGGTTCAATTTGAAAGAATTATATCCTGTAAAGGATATAATAAAGACAATTCAAAGGACTTTTCGAAGGACGAAAAAAAGATAAACGAAAAATAATAATAATACTTTTCCGGTGGATTAAAATAAAAAAAAAAATAAAAACATTTTGATACAGATTTTTTATGTAGTAGATATAAGAGTAATTTAATCCAATTAACGAAATGGTGTGTATATAAAAATAAATCAATGAATTATTGTTTTTATGAAATATAAATAATAATGTGGATTTTCAAAGAAAAAGGATAATAAGTGTTGAATTTTAGAATATATAGAAACATTTATAATGATATAAAATAGTGCATATATTATTCTGAATAATTAATCAATGCGAATTTTCAATGAAATAGGATAATGTGTGTTAAATTTTAAAATATATGGAAACTGTTTAATCAACTACATGTTTAATCAACTAGTAGTGTTCCTTAAAAAAACTTTTGTTAAACAGATTTGAAAAAAAAGAGAAGAATATATGGTTTTAGACCTAAATACTTATATGGTTTCCAACATAATACCACTGCTAATGTGTCCAATATATATTTGCATAGTCCAAATGCATGTGCAAAGCTGCAAAACAGATTAAATTACCATTGTGAAGCCAAAAAGGATTTAGCAAATGAGGATTAAGCCTATTAGCACTGTTATGTGGTGTGTGTGAATGAAATAAAAGAAAGTGCTAGTTGAAAAACATACTTATTAATGTCTAATTTAAAAAAAGTGTATTAAAAAATATAATATGAATTACTGCATGAATCTAAAATAGTTCCTCGACTAATTGTGTAGATTTTAAATAATAAAATTAGTGCAACCTAAAAACAGAAATAAATAAAAATCGATTTTTATAGACTGCGAAAAATAATATCATAGAAAACATAAACCTTTGAAGCACAACATAAATAAATATGACTATAGGATTCTTGAGAGTCCAAAAAGTTTAATAAAAGAATAGCTCAACAAGTTCAAAAATATGCTTAAAAGAAAATATTATCTTAAAAGAGAGGACAGGACATATAATGTGTCTGTGTACTGGTGAAACTTTTAAAATCTAAAAAAGGAAACAGGGCAAATATATTAAAACATTTCAAAATTTGAATCAAATCCTGGAAAATAATACAAACTTTTGAAAATCCCTTTTGACAGATATTCACAATATAATGAGTTTCAACATTATGAAGGAATATCAGGATAGAATAAATACTTTCAAAGATTAAAAAAATAAACAGTAAGAACTAGACCAAAGAAGAACCTAATTTTAATTGTAACCCAAAAAATTTCCTCTCCAATGATTTTAATTGTATTTATATCCTGTCGATCGGACAGATGTAGCATCATTGGTGGATCCTTCTATATATAAATCGACTACAATTAAACCAAACAAAAGTCATTCGGCAATCCATGCAAAATTTCATGTCAATCGTGCTGGTATAGGGACTTCAGTGTATAATTTTTCCAAAAATAGGACAAAATTATATGAAAAATTAAAGAAGGAGAAAATAAATTGACCAAATGGTGTTGTTTTTTGTAACTAAAGAAAATACTGTTTGACGGCGGGCATGATTGCCGGTCACTGAAACATCCGAATCTCAAAATTCCGAAGCAATTAGAAAGAGTAGATATCTATGGCCTGAACTAGGATTATTGACTTCGCTCGAAAATTAGAAAAATTACGGACATAGGAAAATTATTTTTTGGAAAGTCGACTATTTAAAAAAAACTAGGTGGAAAATAAGGAAGATATTGAGCGATTACTAGTTCATACCAAATCTATGTAGGTAGATGCAGAATAACGTGTTAATATTTGGAACCGATTGGATTAATAGTTTTTGTTTTGAGAAAAAAAAACGCGTTTAAAGTATTGAGAATCACTCATGCCGCACTAAGTACACCGGTCAAAAATAAAAAGGAGTTATATAATTTGAATGAAATTTTGCACAAGAGTTTATTATAAGAAAGCAAGTGAAAAAATTGGATAGATCGGACCAAAACTTGGTATACCTCCTATATAATGGAAAATGCACACTTTAGCCCTATAATGAAAATATATATTTAAATGGTCTTGAAATTTGCAATCTTTTGGCATATAATAAGTTTAGTTATAATTAGGCCTATAAGCAATTGACGAAAAAATGGAAAGATCGGACCAAGATTTGGCATACTTCCCATATAATGGGTCATTACAAATTCGCTCTTTTTTGGCCTACAAAAATCAATAATGTTCAGTTAAATTCGATGAAAAATTGCAGTTGCAATTGGTATGAAGACAATACCGAGTGTTAAAATATAGTTCTTGGTCCACGTTTGATATACATTAGTCACTACAGACATTACAGATTTATGATTTATCAGATTTTCAGAACAAACATCAGTATTATATAATATAAAACTCAAATCCAACAAAATTAGGGCGAAACTTTTTTCTACTCCACTATTTTCAAAATGCCGTCGGTTGATGCTGACAAAATCAGCCTTTTCCGGGACATCAATCCACGGTGAATTTGTTCACTCTTCCGTTTAAAGGACTCGCAGCGAATTTTTTCGCATTTCCCTCTTCCCTTATTCTGAATCAAGTTCGAAAGCGAAAAAATCCGCTTTGAGGTAAAATTAGTTATTTTGGATTACAGGGAATGGGAGAATGTGATGACATTTTGTGGGAAAAAATTTTCGCTAATAGATTTAAAGGGAGCTGAATACAAAAATATAAGTATTAAATATTTGTATGCGAAATATCTACACAATATTCTAGGACGATTATCAATATTATAAATGGTTGTATGCATATGTTTTAACTCAAAAACAACAAATAAAATGCCATTGGAAATCCTTGATAACGATGCATGCACAACCAAATATTGCCACGGAATGTATAAAGACAAATAAAGCAAAATGAAGACATTTTGTGCGAGGATCTGTCTCTCCAGAAAAAAAAATATTAAAAATTAACCACATAGCCAAATTTGTCTGATGAGCCGCTCAACAGTGGAATTATGAAAGAACAATAATAAAGCTACAAAAAATATTTGTTTCTTTTTTTTATCGTGTGCATTATTTGAAGGACGAAATAAAAGAGGAGGAGCATATCATAAAAAATTGGCCACTTTAAGAATTTGGAGAGATAAGATATTGAAATTAAATAAAAAGACATACAATTATGAAGTGAAATAATAAACTGTGGATTAATTTATTTCAATCGCAGATTTCTTCCCATTATTCGTTGTGTCTTTGACATGGTTCAATGCGGTTTTTGCCATCATAAAAAATGTTCTGTTATTTGAAATCTGTTGTAGTTGTTCCACCAAATTGCATCAAAACAATAATAAACTGTTTCACATGCCGTTGTATGTTGCCATATTTTCAAACTTTAATTTATTTTCTTTCAATTACAAAGCAGTTTTACAGCGAATTCACATTTATATTGTTATACACTTTAAATAACAATGAATAGTAACACTTTTTTTTAAATCAATAAATAAAATATTTGATTACACCTTCAACTACAATATGGCAAAACGATTCTTTTTTCAACCACCATTTTCGAATCCATATCTCGCATTTTTTGTTTCTTCCTATTCACTCAGAATAAGGCGAGAATGTGAAAGCGAAACTTTTTTTCACAGGCGAGATCTCTCCCTAGTGAATAGTCAGAATAACTCTGAATATATCGGCCATATTTTTATGAGCAGTTGAGATTTTCACTTGAAATTTTAAGGAGACATTCTTGAGAATAGTTCAAATTAAATAAAATCATAAACATCGATTTTTTGAAACCGAGAATGGGGGCAGGGCTTATATTATTATCCAAGTGGATACCTTCTCATGGTCCCTGATAATGACTATGATACCCAGATTAAAATGGTGTGATTTCAGAAATTTTCTAGTCTCTAACAACTTCACAATCTTACCGAATTCGTCATCCTTATGGTATTCATTCTGTTAGCAGCAATTGTTTGTACATTTTACGATGATTGAAGAGTATTATTGTGGAATATTTAGACCTTCCAACTCCTTGGTAATTTCCTTCAACTTTAAACACATTACAACATACCGATAGTTGTATATTTTAATCGTCCTTTTATACTTTACCCTATCCTATCCTATAAATTATGATTAAATGTCGGTTTTGTATGAAATATTTTCAATTCAAAGTTAGTATAACCAATTGATAGATGATTTTTATAATACGATAATCATTATATGCATATCATTAGGAAACAATAAAATTTACTAATTATATGAAAAAAATTATCAATGGATCACGCTCCAGAAGAACTTAAAATCTAATATAATTATGAAATACTTTAAAGTGTCGACCACTAGTTAGTTTAATTAAAAAAATATTAAAAATATTAATCATAAAAATATTCAAAAATTAAAATTGATTTGATTTAAATGTCTAAAAACTTCTCCCATTCGCTTCTAGGAATTCTTTTTTAAATTTGGTTACGTCTTTTTGATTGTAACCCTATTAATAATGATATGGATGTCCCTGGCACGGGGTCTACATTATAATCATCGTGAAATGGAAGATACACGATACCCGCCATGTGCCTATAACGCACTATGTACGTGTTCGAAGTCATCAACAGATTTGGGAATAGTACATTGTAAAAATGTGCCATTTCCTGCACTGCCACGAATGGTGAATCAGTCGAAGGTAAGACAAAAATAGTTTTTCCCTAGAAATATAAAAATATACATATGTATATTTATTTTCTGTAATACTATATAATTTCAATATCCTAATAATTTTGTATTACAACAAAGGTTTTTATGCTGCACATGGAAAATACGGGGTTACGAGAAATCGAACCCTATTTTCTGCAATCAACAGGTGAGGCTTATTCGCAGAATTATTTTTTTACTTGTATATTCCAATTAATCAATTCCCTTAGGCATGTACCGTTTAAAAATATCGGGAAATCATTTAACCGAAGTACCAGATGATGCGTTTACCGGACTGGAACGGTCACTGTGGGAACTAATACTGCCACAAAATGATCTGGTGGAAATACCATCGAAATCATTTCGACATTTACAAAAACTTCGCCATCTAGATTTGAGTCACAATCACATTACACACATACAACACGATTCATTCCGGGGGCTGGAGGATTCATTGCAAACGCTGCTGTTGGGTGACAACTGTATATCGACATTGCAACCGCATAGCTTTTCCGGTCTTTTAATATTGGAAACATTGGATTTGAGTGGCAATAATTTATTTGAAATTGATCCTAATGTCTTTGTGGATGGTATGCCGAGATTAATGAAATTGTTATTAACGGATAATATACTCTCGGAGATACCGTATGATGCCTTGGGTCCGTTGAAAAGTTTACGTACCCTAGACATATCACACAATGTGATATGGTCGTTGAGCGGCAATGAAACGTATGAGATCAAGGCCAACGCAAAGCTTAATTTGGACAATTTACATTTGGAATATAATAATATTAGTATGTTGCCACCAAATTCATTTAAATATTTTGAAATTGTTAATCGAACGTTTTTGGATGGTAATCCAATACACACGATGAAGGTGAGTGGAACTTAGGAAAAATGTTTTTTTTATATTTTTCATTTGTTTTTTTATTAAATTTAGGACGATGCCTTCAAACCCGCCAAAATTCGTGAAATTTATATGCGTTACTGCGGTTTAACGGAAATTTCACCCATGGCATTTGACAGTTTAACGAGCAGCTTACAGATTCTGGATCTTTCGGGAAATAATCTGACACATTTACATCACAAGCTATTCAATAAATTTGATGTCTTGAGGTAAGTATAGAGAATTGAATCCGTAGGAATCTAAGAGGGGCACATTTTGAGTTCTTGGTGCATCATTTACTTAAAATCGGGTAAAAATATATATGAGAGCTATATCCAAATCTGAACCGATTTCAACAAAACTTGGCACATGTTAGGCTTTACTAATTTCAGTACGTTGTGCAAAATTTTGTGTCAATCGGCCTAACTTTGGGTCTTTGGTCCACCATTTACTTAAAATCGGACGGAACTATATATGAGAGCTATATCGAAATCTTAACCGATGTTCCCACACCTTAGCACACATCATTCTACAATGAATTCAGTACGCTATGCCAAATTTCGTTCCAATCGAAGGATATATATGGATTTTTCCCAATTTCAATAAGGTTCGTCCTTGGGCCAAATAAATGAGCTGTACCAAATTTCATCCAATTCGGATGATAAATGCGACCTGTACTTTGTTTACAATTTAACATGGACACACGAACATGCATAAATCGACTCAGAGAGTGATTCTATGCATAGTCTCAAAGGTTACCATGGGTCTATCTCGTTTCCTTTTGCTTGTTACAAATATATGCACATAGACATAATACCCTGTACCACAGAGTTGTGAATCATCAAAATGGTTCCTTCGTATAATTTAATAAATTACATTGTATTCACTAATTACGAAACACTCGACATTTGCCATTTTCAAAAATATCCTATATTCTATAGGTTTTGTTCATAATTCAAATTAAATAAATAGCAGCACTTAAAAGATTATTGAACTGTAGGCGTAGGATTTAAGGGACGGTCACGTTACCATTCATTGTTCTAACATTCGAAATGTACACCCGGTGAAAATCATCGAAATAAGTCTAGAGTGTTTTTCACGTTGTTTGAAATCTGCATGAATGCATTCATGTTTGTGTGTATGTGTAAAATCCAATATTTATTATTTGCAAATTCGTACATTGGCCTGTGAATGTGTCTACTCTATGTGCAGGGTAGGACAGTATTTTTGTTCGTCTATTGTCTTTTTCTTTATAAGCCGATTTCATCACTTAGCCATTTAGAGACATCGAATGTTCTTCGAAGGTGTATGTATTGGCGGAACGTGAAAACGAGCCATTCACTTGAAATATATGTAAATATGTATTAAATAAGAGGTATGTAACTTTTGTATGGGACCGGTATGCTGGCATTGTTGAATGTTGTTTTACCACCACCACCACTTGCCATCACCATTCAATCACGTTTTCTATTTTCCCTCTTTTTTTCTAGCCAACTTATGTATGGCTTCTTGTCGTGGACCTAGAATTGTACATTATTAGCCTTTTTGCGAACAATTGTTAAATTTAATTTTGCCGGTTATTGAGACTAATTTAATGCCTGGGTGGCTAATGAAACTGGGTTGGATTAGTCCAAATACATACTGTTAATGGTAGACTGAGGGATGGATGTGTGTATGGGCTTTGAAACAAAACATATTGGGAACATTGATATAGCCAATGTTTATACCTCTAAAATATTAAAAAATCCTACAAATACCTAAAATATCAGAAATCGATAAAATAAAACCCATTCGGTTGGAAATGTTTTCAATTTACCGGTAGTCCCTTATAACAGTGGGATCCCCTTGGAATTTTTCTTTACAAAAATCCACGCTTATAACTGTGGAATCCCCTTGGAAATTTTCTTTACAATAATCCACGCTTATAACTGTGGAATCCGCTTGGAATTTTTCTTTAAAAATCCACTCTGATAACTGGGGAACCACCTTGGAATTTTTCTTTAAAAAATAAGTCAAGTAGTCTCTTGAAAATATTCTTTAAAAAAATTCACGCCCATAGGTCAACTAGTCTCTTGAACATATTCTTTAAAAAACTGAAAAAATTGCCCACAAAATACATTTCAAAATTTGTATTTTCCCATATTTAAAAAAATATTTTTTTCCATTTCCTTTCAGAGTCATAAGTATGCGTGATAATAAAATCAAAATAGAACAACCAATGGAAACCTTTAATGCCATGCAATATACGTTACTAAAATTGGATTTAAGCGGCGATCAGAATGATCCAACCAATCTACAAACATTACGCAAGTAAGTTCAATATTTCCCCCATGCACTATCAAAAATGTTTTTTATTCATTTGTAAAAAGTATGACCAGAATGAGGAATATGCGCTCACTGTCAATGTCACGGATGAGTGCCACATCAATAGGACCGGATGATTTTAAAGATTTCGGTGTGGAATTAGAAGATTTACAAATAGTACGGGCTAGCTTGAGTAATATACAGGCGCATGCATTCAAGCATGTACGGGGACTGAAACGTTTGGATTTCAGTGAGAATAGTATCCAGAGTATTGAGAATGATGCATTTGATGAGGTTAGTATTAAACAAAATAGATTTAAGATCTTATTGGCTGAATACTTTAATTTCATTTGATTTTAGATTGGCCATTCCCTGATTTCGTTAAAAATTGCCCATGGCTTTTCGGGTACCGCACTGCCGGCTGAACCTTTACGCCATTTGACGTCGCTGCAAGAATTGGATATGAGCAATAATAAAATACAAAGTATGAGTGATACGAGTTTCCATTTTCTGAAAAATCTACGTCTATTGGAATTGCACGACAATCGCATCGAACAGGTTATGAAGGGAACATTTCAGGTAATGGAATTAAATTAATCAAATTAATAATAATACAAAATGTATTTCTGTTTGTATTTCCAGGGTGATATTCATTCTAAACTTGAAGAGATTTCATTTCGTTTCAATCACATGACTCAAATATCCCAGCATACATTCTTCGACTTAGAGGTATGAATTTCCCAAACCCCAAAATTGTTCAAATATGTTATCATGATGTATTTATTTCCATATTAGGCTCTAAGAAAACTACATTTGGACGATAACAAAATCGAGCGGGTTGAGCGTCGCGCCTTTATGAATCTAGACGAACTGGAACATTTAAGTTTGCGTGGAAATAAACTTAATAACCTTGCTGAAGAATCGTTTCAAGTAAGTGGGGGAAATAAAACAAAACAATATTGAGAATATACTTAGTATCTTCAAAATATTAAAAAAAACACGATATGGTTCCCTGAAAATATTATTTTATAAATACACGCGAAATTATTTAGTAAAAATCCAACCCAAAGTCAGTCTCTTAAAAAATTCATAGTATCAGTCAGAAAATCCCTTTAAAATATTCTCTTAAGGGAACCCCACCCATTCTCGATTTTAATTTTTCAAGATTCTCAATGGGCTGGTAAATCAATACCAATGCTTGTTAAGGTTTGTAACTTTGCACATATATATTTGAAGATTTATCCTAGTTCATACGAAAGCTATACACTCACAGAGAAACGTGTAAAAATTTGGAATCGATTAGGTTATTAGTTTTTGAGTTATCGTGCCCGCTGACACAATAAATCGGCTATATCTTCAAGAATTCTTGAGATTTTCACTTGAAATTTTGTAGAGACATTCTTGAATTAGTGTAGAATCGAATTAAACCAAAAAATTTTGACCCCGAGAATGGGGGGGGGTCCCTTAAATATCCAGCCTTATAGGTCAGACAATCTCTTTAAAGTAATCTTTAAAAAATGTAGTCTGTTGAAAATATTATTAAAAAATCCTCGCTTGTAGCTCAGATAACCCCTTGAAAGTATTCTTCTACAAACCAACGCTTATAAGTCAGATAGTCCCTTGAAATTATTCATTATAAAAATCACAATAATATATCAGGTTTAAGTGTAAGATAGTCCCTTAAAATATTATTAAAAAAAACTATGCTTCATGGTTCGATAGTCCCTTGAAATTATTCTTTAAAACTCCACGCTTATAGGTCAGACAATCCCTTAAAGTCCCAAGATAGTCCATTGAAAATATTGTTTAACACTAGAAAGACTGGAATCTTGTATATACCTAAATCGCCTAAAATCGGTCAAAATGACCTCATTCTGAAAGAATTTTTATTGTGTAAAGGAATTTTTTTTAACTTATTTTTTAATATTTTTTACATTATTTACAATCATAAAAACAATCATAAAAGAACGTGGTCAAAATGTTCGAAAAAGAGTAAATGTTTACTCTAATAGTGAACTCGACTAGAAATATAAAATTTATTTTTCCCGATTTGGGTGTTCGTTTGTGTTTCTAGAGTAGGAAACGGTTTTCGATGTTGTTGTACTGATCTGGCCATATTTGATTATTTAATATTTCATAAGAGGTCAAAATGACAGATTTTAGGCACTGTAGGTATAGCACATGTGAATACGGGGAATGAAAGAGGGGAGGAAGCAGTTACTATGATTAATAAACGTAGTTCTATGTGACATAAAAAGTCACCAAATTTTAAAAAGCTGTGACATAATTTACACAATTGTTTTTGTACTTGAAATTGAAAAACGGTCAAAATGACGGCTTTCGGCAATCTAGTGTTAAAAAATACGCGTCTATAGCCAAGATAGTCCATTGAAAATATTGTTTAAAAAATACGCGCCTATACCCAAGATAGTCCATTGAAAATATTGTTTAAAAAATACGCGCCTATAGCCAAGATAGTCCATTGAAAATATTGTTTAAAAAATACGCGCCTATAGCCAATATAGTCCATTTAAAATATTGTTTAAAAAATCCACGCATATAGCCAAGATAGTCCATTGAAAATATTGTTTAAAAAATCCACGCCTATAGCCAAAATAGCCCATTGAAAATATTCTTTAAAAAATCCACGCCTATAGCCAAGATAGTCTCTTGAAACCAGTAAGGAAAGCCCAGTCCGACTTTACTATATGATACCCTTCACCACTTTGGGAATCCATTTTTTCAAAACTTAGCACGCATCATTATGGACCTAATTTAGTACACTATGCCCAATTTCGTACAAATCGAAAGGCATATAGGGACTTTGATATCCCTTTTACCTTAAATCGGACGAAACTCTATACGGAAGCTATATCTAAATCTGAACCGGTTTTCACGAAACTTAACACACATCATTCTGAACGTAATTCAGTAGGCTATGCTAAATTTCCCATTTCCCATTCTTTAAAAATCCACGATAAAGTCCTTTGAAAATATGTCTAAATAATTGAAAATATTCTTTAAAAATCCACTCTTCTAGGTCAGATAGTTCTTTCAAAATACTTTCAAAGAAAAAAATACTTTCCCTTAGAACTATTCTTTAAACAATCTACGCCTTTAACACAGATAGTCTTTTGAAAATATTATTAAAAAATCTATGTAGGTCTTGGTCAGATGGTCCAAAAATGTAATTAAAAAAAATAAATAAAAATATGTCAAGTTCAGACGTGCCGAACTTTTTATACCCTTCACCATGAGGTTGACATTCAAAATATCTAAAATTCCAGGAAAAAAACGTATGTTATGGACCTTGAATATACAGAAAAAGGTGCGAGAAAAATATGTTATAAATTCTCATAATACCGAATAGTGGGTCTATACCAAAACGGGGATCGATGTTAATAATTTAAAAATCGGCGCCCTGTCACTTCATCCCACATAATCAATATGGACGACAGATACTAATAAACGTTAACAAATAGTCTGCGCCCATTTTACTATTCTAGGCAGATTTTAATTTTGTCATCGTGTTTTCATTACAAAAATAATTTCTTCCCATTTTAAATATAATTGCACAAATATATACAGTGAGTGTAATAAGTATTTTGCCTCAATACAAATTTGACAAAATTCCAATGTATACGACTAATACCAGCATAATAAAGATGTAAAATGAATTCTGTATGATGGGATATGTTTGTGGACATATTTAGATCTTATCTCTGCAAGAATCACTGCGAAAGTCCTATTGGTCTCGAAGATATCGGCCATAATCTATACCTACCCAAAAATGTGTATCACAAAAAAGTATTTTGCTTTTTATTATTATTTTAGAAAAAATCATTACATAGCACACGCGTTGTCTTTTTATAGTTACCATTGCGGATAACCACATACTATAAGCAATTTAGCGACGATTTCAATAAACCACGGCATTTTTTCGCGAATATTTTGTCACATTTACGTTCAATACATTCTCCAGCAATATTTCATTTAATATTTGTTAATTTCTCGTTCTAATCGCGGCTTCAAAACATCCCAAATATGTTTAGAATAATAAAAAGGAGGTTTTAGAAAATATAACGCGAGGACAGGACCTTAAAAACTATTAAAACCAAAATCCGACAAACAAATTACTTTAAAAAATATCGCGAAACCTCATTTTTCTGACTTCGAAAACTTTAATGTCAATTAATATTGACCTAGAAACCTATATATGAGATGAAAATAGTAATAATGATGTCAGATTTAAAGATATGAACAGATCTAAAACGTCAGAAATTACAAAACAGTACATGAAGTGGGAGAAAACACCATTCTTGGTCAAATCTTATTGCCTTTTGAAAAACTGTTGTAGTTGGTGACGAATGCGCATTCAATATTTCATATCCGATTAACATCATCAGTTGCGAATAAAATGCAGCAGGGAATAACCTGGTCGATCTATATGTTTTCGAAATAAGATGTATTTCTATTGCCACAAAACCGTTAATATCTTTCAATCTGACCTCCCTTTTGCTATTTTTATCACTTATATTGGTTCATAGATCAGTATTAATGGACCATACAGTTTTCGAAGTCTGAAAAATGGGGTTTCGCGTTATTTTTTTTAAATAATTTGTTTGTCGGATTTTGGTTTTAAAAGTTTTTAAGGTCCTGTCATCGCGTTATATTTTCTAAACCTCCTTTTTATTATTCTAAACATATTTGGGATGTTTTGAAGCCGCGACAACTATATTTAATACTCTCATTTTGAGATTAGGACGAGAAATTAACAAATATTAAATGAAATATTGCTGGAGAATGTATTGGACGTAAATGTGAGAAAATATTTGCGAAAAAATGCCGTGGTTTATTGGAATCGTCGCCAAATCGCTTAAAGTATATGGTTACTCGCAATGGTAACTATAAAAAGACAAAGCGTGTTTTATGTAATGATTTTTTCTAGAATAATAATAAAAAGCAAAATACTTTTTTGTGATACACATTTTTGGGTAGGTATAGATTATGGCCGATATCTTCGAGACCAATAGGACTTTCGCAGTGAATCTTGCAGAAATAAGATCTAAACATGTCCACAAACATATTCCATCACACATAATTCAACTAACATCTTTAGTATGCTGGCTTTTGACGTATATATTGGAATTTTTTTCAAATTCGTATTGAGGCAAAATACTTATTACACTCACTGTATTTTGTTTTTAAAATACACATTTTTTTCGAGATTGACTTAAATAAATAAAATGTATTTACGTATATATTGTTCTTATGTATTCTACGATTTAAATCTCTTTTGGAAAATAAAAAAACTAAAATTTAATTCAAATTTAATCACTTATATTATGAACGAACATAGCATGCATATTATATTCTTTCGATGTGCTAAATGTCTCATGACAAATAAAACATGTCCATTGATTACGGAATTCGGCAGATGCGTTAATATCGTCGTCAATCGGTTCCGATTTAACACTAACTTGTAAAGATTCCAAATCTTCTTTGAGGGTTGGGAATAACAATTCAGAGTCATCGTCATTTTCATAGGAGGACGTTTTCGTGTGTTGACTCATATTTCGCCATGTGGAAGTAGAACTTTTGTTGCTCATCGACGACTCGGTATGTCTTGGTATGTGGTGTCTAGTTTGAATACTGGTTGATGCTGGTCTATTATATGATGGTTTTGACTTTGACGGATACAATGTCTTGTCTTGAGCAATTCTAAATGATATTGGTACCGTTGGTGGTGGTTGTGCTGGCGGTGTATGCTTTTTCATACTATTCGATGATTGCGGAAAATCAGGCAAGATTGATTTTTTATTTGCTTCACGTCTGCTCAGCATTTCCGGTATGTTGTGAATACGCATGTGAGAATTACTGGATCGATAATTTGAAAATACTTTGTGGCATATATTGCATGAGAAACTGCC